CTTGTACTCATTTTTCACTCTCTTTCTTTCCTTTTCAGCACTGGGAATTGAACCTAGGGCCATGACAAGGTGCTACATGCCCATCCCTTTTCACTTTTTGACATAGGCCCTCATGAAATCACTAAGTTCCCCAGGCTAGGCTTGAATTTATGATCCTCCTGCCTCAGCCTCCTAGAGTACTGGGATTACAGGCATGGCCAACACACTCAGATCAGTTTCTCTTAACATAAATCAGAATGTACCTGTCCTCTGCTCAAAGCCCCTGGTGGGCTCCCTTATACTTGGAGATCAGTCAAGCCTCCCAGCCAGCAAAGGGCCCATGCAATCCATCCTCCGACCCTCATCCTCTTCAGGGCCACCAAATCCCTTCCAGTTGGGGCACTTCTAATTCAGACTTAAATAATTTAATTAATTCACAAAGCTGAGTCGTTTAATCATAACTAAGCTTAATTAGTTTTAATTAATTAATTCTAATTTAATTTGATGTTTCTTCTCAGGGAGTGATAATGGACCAAAGGTGGGAAACACTGTTTTGAGCATTTGTGAATCCACACCTACTCAGTCTGAGGTCGCCATTGAGACTGCTGAAGACATAGGGCTGGCACACAGCAGGCACTGCAGAAGACAAACCAGAGAAGACCCTGCTGCAGAGTTTATGTACGGCCTCCTTTTCCTTTGGTGGCATGGGCAATAGGGAGTCATGGAAGACTGGGAAGCTGGAGAAAGGTAGAACTTCTTGCGTACATAGAGCAGCTCTCCTATCCCCAATCAGACAGTGTAGCTGCCAATATCTCTGCAAGCCTCCCCCAGCCCAAGTCCCCACAAGGCTGGCAGGAACAGAAATAGAGCAGCCCACAGGTTCTGTGATGCCAGAGGAGGCGGCTGCAGCCAAACCTGGCTTGGCAGGTGAACCACTTGGAGTAGAGCGGAGCTTTAGCCAGGGACAGACACCTGTTCAGGGCTCTCCCTGGACCTGGCCACCCTTGGGTGGCCTTGGGGAGGACCAGAACCCTGAAGAACCTTTGTAACCATAGGAGAACCCGGCTGTGCTGGGCAGGAGACACACGAGCTCTGCCAAACTCGGTGCAGCTGATATATATAGAGAAAGAGCCTCCCACCTGGCTCCCCAAGGATTCGCAGCGGCTTTCACAAGAAGCAGCAAAATGAACATTTAGTGTGCCAAAGTTTACACATGAAGCCTCATGTCACAGGCCTTGGGAAGCAGCATGACAAAGGTCAAGAACATGGATCTCAGGTCCCTCCTGCAAGCTCTGGTGGGAGTGAGTTCCCCAACAGGGTGTCAGGCAAGCAGAAGCTCCGGTCTTGGTGGGGGCGTGGATAGGAGGGATGTGATGGAGCTTCAGATGGAGCTGTGAGCAGAAGCTCTCACACCCTTGCGGAGAGGTAAGGTAAACCTGCCCACCAAGCAGCCAGGGGAGCAGCCTGAGATAAAGTGATACAGTTGCCTAATGGCTCTTCCTTGGGCCAGAATTACCCACAAGGGTTTACAAGTTGAGGGATGGGGATTTTATGTTTGGGGAATGTTGTGCTGAAGTCCACAGTGGCCAAGTGAACAAGAGGCCTCTCAAGGACCTTGCCCATAGAGCAGACTTGGGAGCCAGTGTGTGCAGGACCCCAGTGTAGGCATTCGTCTCCCTGCTGTGCTGCCACCCACTGCCCATATCCTCTACTCACCTTCTGTGGGATGCAGAGTCCCACAAGGTACCATGAGTTCTTTCTGGCTCTGGAACAGCCTGCCCACTTCTGCCTAGCCCAAACCTTGGCACAGTTCTGGCAGTGACTACAGGAGAGGGGCACTGCCTAGCTCCTGGGTTCAGCCTGGGGCCTAAAAAGGCCAGCTTCCCGATGCCTGTCCTATTTCCTCTCATCACTGTCCTGAACAAGATGAACCTTTCCCAGTGCAGAACCAGAAGCACAGAATAGATAAAAATACAAACGTAGTGTACCAGGTGTGTGGCTGCACACACCTGTAGTCCCAGCACTCCAAAGGCAGAGGCAGGATTGCCATGAGTTCCAGGCCAGCCTGGGCTACAGAGAGTTCAAGGCCAGCCCAAACTACATAGTGAGCAAGTCTAAAAAAAATAAATAAATAAAAGGTATGAAAAAATCAGGGCAGGCCAAGGGCAGTCATTAGAGAGGCCTCTCTGAGGATGTCCTCTAAGAAGAAGCACATCTCAAGAGTGAGTATTCGGGGAGGAGAGGTCAGTTAGTGAAAAGGTCCTGGGGCACATCTATGCTTGGGGTATTTGAGCCCACGTGGATGCAGAGTGGTGAGAGGACTGTGTTGTGGGGCACTGTGAGCCACTGGGAGGCTTTGACTAGAGGAAGAGGGAGCCGTGGCAGGGATCTGAGGAGAGGGAGAGGTGGAGCTAACATTCACTGAGAAGGCTGCCTGTCCTGGCCTCCAGAAGGCAATTTGCAAAGTCTCCCTCAGAGGCAGCTGCCCTGCTCCCAAACAGGCCTGTCTGCTGCAATTTTAATTCTCCTCCATGCAAAGGTTCTCATGGCTGTAATTGAAACAGAAAAGTCCACATGCTTCTGTCATCTGTCAGCCCAGAAACATATTAATCCAGGCCTGGGAGGGACACCTGTCCAGACTCTACTGCCTGAAGGGAAATGGAGATTCCTACACCAAAGCCACCTACCCCAGGGCCTGGAAACAGGGAAATGCAGGGCCCTGCCACTCTGGCCTAGGAGCACAGAGAGGGCAGCACACTATCACCAAGGACATGGCTTTCCCACTTCCACGCTTGGACCCCTTATGTACAAACTGAAGTATTTCATAAGTGGCACAGCAAACTGAAAACAGCTGGTGTTCACAGTAACATGTAGGAATATGCAAACCTATAAAGTGCCGTCTAATTTGGCCAGGGCTTGGCAAGCTGTTAACTACTTTGTAAACTTGAAAGTGCTTTGAAGCCCCACCACCACCACCATACACAGGGAATCTGCAAACTGTAAATTACTTTGCAAGCCCGGTTTAGCAGGCAAATGCTTTATAAACTGTAGAGTTCTCTGGAAGCTGTAATGAGCGGCCCACCTGCAGGGAGCTGTACACCACAGTGTGAGACAGGCCTCTGGCCCTGTCCCCTTGCACTAGCCACAGAGCCAGGCTCTGCGTGGAACAGGGGCGTGGAGTGCACGGGCAGCTCAGTCACTAATCTGCGCAAGGGATTTAGCCCTGGAGAACAGTGCAGGGCCCATGCGAAGTCCCGGTCTCTCCGGGATTCAGGTGCTCAGAAGCCTAGAGGGCTTCCGAGGTTCATGGTCAAAGCCGGGGCTCTGTCGCCTCCTGGTGGCTGCAGGTGGACCGACGGTGGCCGCGCCCTTGGGTCCGAGGGTCCTGTGGGGGGAGATCCTGGGGGAGGGGAGGGGAAGGGAGGCTATAAACTCGCGCACAGACGCACTCACTCACGCGCACGCACACTGGCGCTCGTTCGCGGACCAATCTGCGCTAGTCCTCACAGGCGGGTCTGTGGGAGTTTCTCTGCCTCATTCATGCATTCATTTTTCATTCAGCAAAGGTGTAGCCCGCGCTAGGAGCTGACAGTCTTCTCTCGCCAGGGACAGTTACACAAGGGTTAGTAAGATCCGCCCAGTTTATGCGGTCCTTGGCTCAGTGATCTATCTGGGCCAAGTGCGCAGCCTTAGTCCGGGTGGTCCTGGAAGGCCTCCCTGAGGAGGTGACATGGAGCCAGCCACGGAAAGATGGAGGAAGGGTGTTCTTGATAAGCGGGCAGTGGGTGCACATGTCCCGCAGTGAAAAAACCACCCTTCCCAGTCAAAGGATAGAGGAAGGCAGACAAAACCTCTGTGTACCATACCAGGGAGGAGTGAATGGCAGAAGCCTGTCGCAGACTAAGGACGAGCAATAGGATAGTGGTGGATGGAGGCAAAAGACTGACCCCCATCGGGACCTGCAACCACTTGGAACAGAGCTCTCACACCTTGTTCTTCCCTGCCTTATCTATGCCACCCTCCTAGCCTGAGTGGCCAGGGGTGGGCATATAACTACCTCCCAGACAATAGGGGTTGTCCCTGGGACTTGGGATAGAACTCTGGGCCCCTCTGCTGGGGGAGAGGACTGCATCCTGTCTTGTCCCCATGAGAAAGCAGTGTAAAACCAACCCTGCATGATGTCATTAAGTCCTCGGGGTGTAAACCAAGCTCTGTGTCTGAGGCCAGAAAATTTCTGCTTATGTGAGCAGATTCCCTTTCTGCTCAAGTCTGAAGAAGGGTTTGTGCTCCAGCCCACAGCTTAGGATCACAGAACCAGGCTGGACCCTAGCAAGGGGACCTTCAATGAGCTGCCCCTACTCCCCTCACAGCTTTCCCCCAGGTGCTGCTCCCTGTCCCTGAGGCTCAGTTTCTCCATTTGCAGTTGTAGGGCTTTAGGAAAGTTACTTCAGCTCTCCGGTCATGTCATGAGGGAGAATACAGCACCATCAATAAGGTGCATGTCCAACCCTGGACAGTTTCTTGGGTGTGCTCATTGCTCTATACTGCTGGATGTGATCAGTCACTTTGATGATGTTCGCTTCCTGGAGGAGGAGGGGGTTCACCAATGTCACACTCTCACACAATCTTTGTCCCACTTTTATTTTTTATTATTAAAACAGCAACCTGCCCTAACCCACTAGGAAAAGGACTGCGGTGGGCAGGCCTTTTTGCAAAAAATATATATTTTTCTTTCTTTTTAATTAAACAACATCAAAGCAAATCCATATTCCCTGTGGAGCTGGTCACTCTCAAGGAGAGTGAGGGAACAGCTCCCAGGCATGTTCTGAGCAGAGACTTTAGGCCAGCCCCTATAACCCAGTCTGGGCACAGGGGCAGGTCTCTGCTAGCTGGCTCCCCAGGAAGTGGAAGAAAAGTGATTAGCTCCAAACCATGCAAGAAAAAAAAAAAAAAAAAAAAAAAAAAAAAAAAAAAAAAAAAAAAAAAAAAAAAAAAAAACCACCCCCCAAAAACAAAAAAAAAAAAAAAAAGGAAAAAAAAAAAAAAAAAAAAAAAAAAAAGATGAACCAACACTCTTAGAGGCACCAGGTAACTGGTGTGCCCCTTGGAGGCCCTGTCTACAGTGCTGGGGTGAAGGCCTCAGTGGTTCTAGGCATCTCCCTTGTGGAAATCTTGCAGGGATTTGTATGGCTCATCCTCTTACTGTGTCCTCCACAATGAGGCCAGGATAGAGGCGTGGCTACCCTGGGCCAGAGTGTGCAAAGTCCAACAGTTGAGATATAAAAAAAAAATATACAACTTGGTGGCATCCAGGGCTGGGCTGAGGCAGTGACCTTGACCACTTGGGCACTGGCTGCCTTCTCTGCAAGAGGAAGTAGCATCCAGAAAGGGGCATCCATGCCCCTCCAAGTCCAGGAGGGTGGAGACGTAGGGTCCTTGGAGCAGCAAGGGCAGAGGCACTAATGTGTCTCACACAGGCCCAGCTGGAGGCCCCGAAGGTCTGGTTCTTTGGCACTTGGGGCAAATGGCTAGTTGCAGAGCCAAGTGGGTCAACCCCCTCAATTCCTCCTGGAACTCCCAGGGCTAGGATGGCAGTAGCTTATGACTGTGGGCATGCACTGCCCCAGCTGAGGAAACTTTGGGGTTCTGGAGGGCCAGAGTGGGGTCCCAGGCCAGACCCCTATGAGTCCTCTCCCAGGATCTCCTTCACAAAGGCAGCAATGTCCGTCTTCTTGGTTTTGTGCAAAGTAAAGAAAGGGTGCTCCTGGCAGGAACAGAAGGCACAGTCACTGTGTGGAACAAGAGGGAGGCACTCCTCCTCCCAAGCCACCCCAGGTCTTAGGTACTTTTCTGCATGGCAAACTTCTCACCTTTCTAGAACCCCAGCACCCTAGAAAGGCCTCCAAGACTGGCAGGCATTGGCAGCTCCTCCTTGAACTCTTGCAGCTGCCCTCCAGCCATACAACCTTGCTTTTCCCACATGGCCAGGCTTCTACCCTCACTATACCCTGTGCTCAGAACCCTCTCCACTCTTCTCTTCACTAGCAAAGACCGCTATTCATCCTTCCAGACTCAGCTCAAAAGGCCCCTTCTCTGGGAAGCCTTCCCTGATGCCACCATGGTCCCTATGCCCTACCTCACTGTATGTGCACCTTTGAAGGGTGGTAACCAAAGAACTGAAATGAATAAGCACAGTGGCCAGAAGAGGGCTGATCGCCATGCACAAAGAGCACCACCAGCAGCTGCCTAACCCCAAAGAGGTGCAGACACCTTCCCACCCACACTCACCATCAGCTCCAGGTAACTCATGCGCTCTGCTGGGTTCTTCCTTAGGCTAGGAGAAAACAGGGCAGATGAGGCCAGAGGCATGGAACAGATTAGTCCAGGCAAGCTGGACTCCCCACCACCATCACCATTTGGCATCAGGGAACACATGTTCCTGGGACCCTGGAAAGGAGGGGCTGGACCATCTGGGAGTCTCCCAAGGTGGAATGAGGATCCATGCATGCAAACTTGTGACAAGTTTCTCCTACCTCTTGGGCTCTTAGTGTATCTTTGTTTCCATCGTGATTCAGGGAATTTCCCTGATATGAACCTCAAGTTCTCCATCCAACCATAATATACCTAGTATCCATAATCAGGAGCTGAGACACCTCATCACTGGTCCTGGGGCAGCATCAGCCCCAACTAAAAGGGGTCAACCTGACCAATGACTTTTGTCTGGTGAGCACATTTTAGCTTTTCCTACTTTCTAGTAGAAGAAATAAAAGCTATAAATTTTCCTCCAAGTATCTCTTTGCCCACAACATACAATATAGATTTGTTGCTCTCTACATCTTATTTCCTTACTTCCTCAGTATCCTTAAACTTGATGCAGGGGAGGGGGGTTGCGGTGCCAGCACTCTAACTCAGGACCTTGCACTTGCCAGGCAGGTGCAGTGCCACTGAGCTAAATCCCAGGCCCAAACATGATTAATTTTTTTTAATAAACATGATTAATTTTTATACAGCTCCTTTGCAGTGTTTCCTAATTTGATACAAACTTCTAGTTTGCCCATAAAAATAAGCGTGTTTATAAATTGTCATCTTCTATATGCTTTTCTTTCTTTTCCTGTGTATTTGATCCATCCTTTTCTAAAGGGACTGTACTGAGACCTTCCCAAGGGACAACAGATTGGTCAGAGTTTCCTTATGCTCTATTTCTGCCTTCCATGCTTGGACACCATGTTGTGGGGTGAGTTATTTGCTGCAAGCAAATACAACTGCAGAGCCAGCAACTCACCACTGGGCAGTGAAGTCCACAAACTCGGGGGAGAAACGGTCAGCTGGGAGCTGAGGGGACGGCTCTTCCACCACCTGCTTCAGCTGCTGGAATGGGGTTCCCCAGGACTCATAAGGGAACCGCAGAATGGCCATCTCAATCTGTAATGGGACAGTGGGGTCAGCAAGCCCAGCCCCAAGATGCAACCACACTTTGCACCCAGAAATGAGGTGGCAGTACTTGCCCACCTTGGCCCAGTGCCCAGGGCCAAAGCATAAGACAGGCTGTGGGCTATGTCACTGACCTCCCTCACACATCACAGCTGACCAGGCATGAAAGCCAGGGCACCAGGACTTGGCACTTCTGACCCAGCCAGAAGAACCAGCTTACAGGGCACGTCCCGCCAGGCTCTGAACAGTTTGATCATCATCAGTTTTTCAGATAGTTTGAATGTGGAATATTTTGCCTAATAAGTCAGGCTGTACCTGCTCTGAAAACTTTAGGGAGCTGACAACTGTGGACACCTTACTGTAAGGCAGCAGCACAGCACATCAGACAGGTCTCAGATCTGTGGTTGCCAAATGCCACTGCCTTCCCTAATCTCCCCTTAAAACAGACTTGAATGTGTTCTGTCACTTATCCAGGTTGTTTTTACACAGAAATGAACTGAGTGTCATCCACATCTCGTTTTGTACTGTGAAGGAGTGTGACATTATGAAGCCTGCATCTGACTTGCTCCCTCTGCTCTGCACAGCCCACCCATCCACATGAGAGTCTGTGCTCCTTCTCTGTAGCCCCCACCCCCATACCTCATGCTACATCTTCCTCTGTCCCATCAATCACTCTTGCTCTGACCTCCCCCTGGACAAGTGGCTGGCATGGTCTCATCCTCCTGCTCAGCCTAGACCCTCCCACCCCCACCCCCCACAGGCCATATAAGTCAACTGGTCTCTAGGCCCACTGGGGTTCTGGCCCCATCACTGCCTAAAGCAGGCAGAAATCACTGTGAAACAGACTTGTGTAGGCCTACAGAAAATCTGGTTCCATGTCTGACTGCTGGGATGAAAACATAGGTCAGAACACAGGTCAGGTCAGTCCCGGTCCAGGCCCAGAACAGGACCAGCACAAGGCCCCTCTGTGACAGGCTGTAATCACTGTGATGAACGGAAGAGACCTCAGCTCAGATAAATGCCTTGTGTTGGCAACTGGTGCCTGAATAAGCACTGATTACTATGCTGGAGAGGCTTCCCATCCGGCTACAGGCTCTTTTCCAGCCAAGGCACAAACACACCCTTGGCAGCAGGTGACCCACACAAGCCACTGGCACTGAGTGTCACCCTGTGTGCATGCCTGTGTGCTGAGGATGACACCACGCAGACTTAGGGCAGCATCCCTTAGAATTTTCACTGATTCCAACATGCAATGTGAGGCCCCTCTATGAGCTGCAAGGGAAAGACCAGCTAGAGTTTATAATCAGAAAAACCAAAAAGTCTCTACAGTCTTGACCTTATGATTCCCTTTTTGGTAATTTTTTTCATATGATCTAAAAAAAAAAAAATTAAAACTGCCTCTGGGCACAAGATGCAGGGTACAGTGTCACCCATCAGAAGAAACATTTGGAAGCAGCCCCAGCACCAGGGAGCAGTCTCACCCAGAGGGGCACAGTTATCAGTGTGAGGCTTCCTCTACAGGGACACCAACCCGGTCGGTACATGGCCACTGCATGTTACAGGTCAAGAACCTTCCCAAGTGTGGCTTATCTGTTGGGACATCCTGTGGTATGTGTAAGAAGTTAGTAAAACACATGTTCTGAGCTCCTAGGACCAGTCTCCAACTGCAAGAACATGCCACACTGCCTGGCCAGTCATCCCAGGGTTGCCAAGGAGTTCAAGAGGAAAGAAAAATTAGAGGGCAAGGACTGTAGCTCAGTGGCACCATGACTGCCTGGCAAGCGCAAGGTCCTGAACTCAAGTCCCGGTATTGGGGAAAAAATTAGGAAGTGAAGCATCCTTCACTACAGTCAAGTAAGTGGTTGTGGAGTCTTTTGAAGGAGATGCTGACAATGATTTTTACAGTTCAGAGGAATCTGAACTATGTGTAATGCTAAGTGGACAAGGCAAAATTTTTACGACTTTTTTTCTTTTACAAAGAAGCAACACAGAATTCTACCAGGAAACACACAATGTTGGCAGTTGGCAAAGGGGAGAAAGAAGATCTCTAAGGAAAACAAGCACAGTCATTTCCCCCCACTTTTCCTCCACATTTTACAATAGGGTTCTATTTCTTTTCCTCTGTGTTTTACACAGAGGTCTAATCTGGGGTCTATCCTGTATTTTATATTGGAGTGCTATTCCATTTCTTATTTTATACTGGGGTCTGTTCTACTTCTTCTGTGTTTTATACTGGGACTCTATTACATTTCCTCTGTTTTACAACTGCAACTTCTTGGGAAAAGCTTGCCTGAACTAGGTGGCTAGCCTTCTTGTGAGTTGCTGATCCTCCAGGTGCAAGGAGCCTTCCCCACTTGGACCTGGGTGGCTCTCACAGTGCTGGAACAATGTCAGGAAGCAGAAGCAAGACTCAGCCCAGGCCAGGCCCACCTCTAGAGAGCTCTCTCCCAGCTGGGAGCCAGCTGCCACCAAGCATCCCAGCCATGCTGACATGACCACACAGTGAGGAGGCCCAAGGGGCCTGATGTGAGGAAGCCATGGGGACGCTGCTCAGAGAAGCCAATGCTTCTAAGGACTTGTGGGGAGCTTCCAGCCCAGCATGAAGACTAGCGATCAGAGCGTTGGTAACTCCTACCCCACCTAAAACCTTCCTGGAGGTGAGAGTGGACTGGAGATTGAGCTCTACAAAAAGCCTCCATGAATCTTTGGGCTGGTGAACAGATAAAGGCACTGGGTCGGTATCCCTATGTACCACCACTCTCCCCTGACTATTCATGAGTTGCATCCTTTAGGACACAGGAGTAAACAGTGAGGTGTATTCATGAGTTCTGCGAATCATTCTAGTAAGTGATCATAGCTAAGAACCCCCAATCTAGCCAGGGATTTAGCTCAGTGGCACCCATGCATGCTTTGCAAGAGCAAGGACCTGAGTTTGATCCCTGGTATCCAAAAAAGAAAAAAAACAACCCCCAGTCTATAAGCAGTCAGTCAACAATAAAGCAGGTCTGAAGTGCATGGCTGGCAGTGAACTGGGAAGTCTGGCAGGGCTGAACCCTCCACTAAGGGGCCTGAGACAACAGTAGGAGGACAGTGCTGGAGTTAGGTTTGGGGATAGCCCACTGGGAGCCTACAGGACCCAAAGGCACTCCAACCCCTTCTCACCACAGATCTGTGATTCTGCCTGACAACCCTGTCCTCAACACTAACAGTGAAGGACACGAAGGCAGGAGGGGAGATCCTCAGCCAGGCTGTCTGGACAGGGATGATGTATTAGTCCCACAAGCTGGGATGGGGAAGGGGAACTAAAGACTACTTTCATCAGCTGAGTCAACTGGACTGACCTTGAAGGCAGGCAGCTGCTGTGATGCAACATCCTTCCTACGCCCTTGCCTCGGGCACACTGAGACCTAGTGGGGAACATCCTAACCACTCTCTTGTCCTTGCAATCTGTCCTCCACATGGCTGTCATGGTGGGCTTTCTCAAGTGAGAGCGTGACTACACACTGGTCAAGGGTGGGATTCCACTAGGCAGTTCTGGGAGGAGTGAGGAGCCACCCCTCCACCTGGAGCTTAAAGGTGCCACAGCCTCCACAGGCACGGATATGAGAAGCCTCACCTGCCCAAGGAAACGCACCAGGTGCCCACAGGAAACAGACTTCCTGCTGGGGAAAATATCTGTAGAAATTTTACTACCTTGCTTTGGAAATTATTTACATAGGAAGAGCTTCATTTGGCTGTGACTTCTCAACATGCAGAACTCTGGAGTTGAGCCTAGTGGCGGATGTCACACAGCATGGAGACCTCTTGTGACGCACAACCCAAGGCATCACCAGGTCACTTCCAAATGTTCCCTTACACAGGAATTTCTGACAGCACACTTTCACCTTAGATTTCACCTTAGATTTTGAAGTCAGCAATTTTCCAAAGCCTAAAGTATTTTCCAGTCCCCACAAGGTCAGGCGCATGGCTCCACCCAGCCCCACCTCATCAGCAAGGATGGGACCTAGCCTTGGAAAGTACCATGGTGATGCCGAGACTCCAGACGTCAGACTTGACATTGTAGCCCTTCTGGTTCAGCTCCGGATTGATTCTCTCTGGCTGCAAGAGACCAATGGGGTGTGAGTTTCTTCTACTCTAAAAGTGGGTGCACACCATGTTCTGCCTGCCCAGCTACCTACCTGTGCTATCTGCCCATGTGGCAGAGGAGGAAACTAAGGCCAGTGAAGGCCAGGCATAACCCTGTTCTATGGCCAACACCTGCCCCAATGCCTGAGGAACCCTACATCTCAAATGAGGTACCCTGAGGCCAAGGTAACAGTGGTGCAGGGCTCCTCTGTGGCAGATAATGCAGTGGCAGAAGACCTGTCCATATGCCTAGAGGGAGTGCTCTCCTGACCAGCAGGCCTCTCTCAGCATAGGGAGACACAGCAATACTCACAGCCATGTAGGGCTTGCAGCCAGCATCCATCGTCTTAGCCACGGAGTCCACCAGGTAGCCACTGATGCCAAAGTCACACATCTTCACGTGGCCCTCCCTGTTGATCAGCACGTTGGATGGCTTCACATCTGCAGGACAAACACACCTTTCTCACCCCAGCACTATAGCTTGCCTAAAGGCCAGTGCCATATTCCAGCTGCTGTGTCTCCTCCCACACCCAAGGCCTTATGGGCTGATTCCACAAGGGCCCCAAAGATCCCAGAAGGGAACTGAGGCAGCAAGGAATACCATGCCACAGCCTGGTCACACAGCTGGGGTACATAAGCAGGACATGCCTCCCCCAACCTCTACCGAGAGGAAGGCGTGGCTGTGAACACATCGCTCAGGGAGCCACCTAAGCCCATGCTCCCCACTCTGGACACAAGATCCAGGGAACACAAGGCGACAGGTATGCAGCAGAGTCAGCTAAGGCACAGGAGGGACTAGGTCTATGCACAACAGAGTGGGTGACCAGCACAGCCAGGAACCAACAGGCAAATGCACACATGATACATATATCCTGTATGTCTCTGCAGGGACCTAAGCAGAAACTGTGCAGAAAAAGAAGCCGAGTTGTCCATGCCAAAGTGCTGACCACAGTGACCTCGGGGTAGGGGCTGGGGTGAACATCAGTAAGTCAAAGGCAGCTCAGCCTCCTTCATTTTCTAAAAAGTAGTAAATGAAGCCAGGAATGGTGGCATGTGCCTATAAGCCCAGCACTCTGTATAGCAGAAGCAGGAAGAATCAAAGTTCAAGCCCAGCCTAGGCAACTCAGTGAGACCCTGTCTCAAAATAAATAATTTAAAAAATCAAAAAGGGCTAGGGAATGTAGCTCAGAGCAAAAGCCCTGTGTTCAATCCCTGGTATTAAAAAAAAAAAAGCAATAATGTGTGGACTAAAGCTCAGCAGTAGAATTATCTAAAAGGACCACAACCTTGAGTCTAGAACCGTGAAGCCCATGAGAGGCTACATGTTCCAGATCAGCACAATCCAACTCTTTTGGGCACAGGGCACTGGGCAGGAAGGGGGACCCAGAAAGGGCTGGGAGGAAGTGGCAGAGGTGGATGCATGGCTGTGAACATCTACCAGATTCAAGGGGGCATGCCTGGTCCTGAGCTCTCAGAATATGCCAACTGTTCACCAAGGTAAGAATAGTCAACCATGCCTAGGACACAGGTGGATCTATCCTCAGGTGGCTGACGGCATGGGAACACTGACCTCTGTGGATCACAGACAGCTTGCTGTGCAGGTGCTCCAGGGCCCTCACGATCTGGGTAGGGACAGGAGAGGGCAGAGATGGGACTGATGTTATTGTAGGTGGCATCTACAGTGACAAAGCATTGTAGCCCACCCCTCTACACATCCAGCATCTGCCCTGGTGTTCCAGCCATCTTGGTACAAACTCACTGGTCTCCTGCCTTTCTCTCACCCCCAAGTCTCATAGGAGCTGCTTATGATTCCTGCAGATGCAAAGCTGCCCCTCCCAGGAAACATTACCATAGGCTACTAGGTTCCCTCAGCAGAGCTGTCTCCCTGTGCCCTCAGCAATGGGAGCCTGAAGCACAGGATGTTTTAAGGTTTCCAGATGCAGTCTGAATTGAGAACCACAGGAGACCTTGATCCCACTTCACTTTTTCCTTTGGATGCAAGGATGCCTGAGCCCAGAGTTGTTGCCTTCATCTAGAAACATTTACACTCAAAAAACAAATGTTTTTTCCTACCTCAGCTGGCATCTCTGTGGGCTGCCTCACAGCACTTTTAGTATGAAGCATTTATAAATACTAAATTCTTTTTTAAAAAAATGGTCCCAAATGAGAGATGCATTCAAAGGCCTAGAGGTGGGGACCTGCAGACCCTGAAGCACCAGGGTCTCCTCAGTAAGAAGGCACTTATCTTGTGGGGGGATAGTCCTCTGGGGATGGTCACTCTGCCCGTGTCAGTCCTGCTGGACAAGGCTGGGCCTCTGGCTGTGCCCGGGAATGCCCACCTACCACCCAGCCACTTACAGACACAGCAATCTCCCCCAGAATGTCCTCTGGAATTGTCATGTTTTTCTCCAGCACTTTCCGGTAGAACTTGTCCAGAGATGTGTCCATGAGTTCCATGCAGATCCATACATCTCCCTGCAGAGGACCCGGTGCTCAGCCCACCAGGCTGCCTATGCTTGGACAACCCGCAGGCTGCTGAAGGACAGCTCCACCCACTTCCACTTTTCAGAAGGAACAGGACAGTGCCCGCCCACCCGGCACTTCCCATTCTGCTTCTCACCTTCTCCCGCCTGCATGAATCTCACCCCACCTGTCCCTCATCACCTGGCCTACTCTGCTGGCTCCTGTGCTCCTTGGTTTCCTCTAACTGATCCCTAACTCCATGGAACAGCCAGTAAGCTTGATGGTAACCCTCCAGTGGAGCTTTCAGGATATGAGGAGCCCACCTAGCCCTAGAAGCTGGCCCTGATGCTTATCCCCCAGGCAGATGGTTCCACTCCTTCAGTGACCTGCTTCCTCCTCCTGGCACACCTCTGCACACGTTCTAGGATAGCCTGTGAGAATATAGAACCCAGGCCTGGCCTTCCCTCCAGCTTGGGCCTGGCTCACAGGGTGCTGCTTGGCCCACCAGATGAGAGGAGGCTCAGACTCTCCAGGTTTCAGAGAGTATGGTAGGACAACCAGGAACCACCCAAGAGCTCTGTGAAGACAGGTAAGTCTCCACTGAAAGCCATGACAGCTAACCTGGCTTCTGCCTCCTCACCCCAGGCCAGCATGTCCTCTCACCTATCCTGGCTCAGGGGTGACAACCCTGTCCTTTCACTCCCCAGGTGCTGCCCCAGCCTCACCCTCAGCTCCTCTCTCCCCTTAACACCCAGCCCTTCCTGGAGACCTGGAATCCAATCCAGAATCCCATGCCTTTATGGCTGCTCCCATCTGGGGCCCACCCAACCCTCTTGAGTGCTGCTGCCAGGAGGCAGATGGCCACAAAAACTGCAGCAGTCACTGAGCACCAGGTCCACAGTGCATCCCTTCACCGCCATGACAACCTCAGGAATCAATCATCAGCCTCACTTTACAGAGAAGGAAGCTAAGACACAGGGCAGTGCAGGAAGAGCTGGGAAGCACAGGCACCAGACAGCCTGGGCCCTGGACCAGCGCTCTCTGCAGGTGAGCAGGAACTTTGTTTGGTATCCCCCACATCCCCCAAGTCCTCGGCATCTGGCACACAAGAGGAACAGAGTGGCAGTGGCTGCTGGTCCCTGCCCACCCTCACAGTTCTCTGTACAGGCCCCCAAAGAAGATAACAGAAGCCCCCTGACCACTGTACCTCTCTAAAGAGGGCCCCATAGAAGGTGACAGTATAGAAGCAGTCGACTGTGCGCATGTTGATGTCCAGGTCCATGAGCAGCCGCTTCTGTTCCTGGGAGTTCACAGTGGCCCGGATCCGCTGCAGGGAAGAGTATGGTTCAGAGGATGCATGCAGACCAAGCAACTTCACCCTAACATGGAGGTCAGACTCTCTGGGAGACCCATGGCCCAGCCTGCTCTGAACAGCTCTTCCCTGTCACCTATCACAGCAAGTGACAGAGCCACACGGCAGGAAACCACCTTGCAGGCTCAACCCTGTGCCTCCCCCAGGCAGCCTGTTGCCTCCTGGCAGGGCAAGGCTGTGGATCAGGATGGGCCCAGCTCACCTTCACAGCCATGATGGTGCCACTCTGGGCATGCCGCACTTTCTCCACCACCCCATAAGCTCCACGGCCCAGCTCTGAGATGGTCACCAGGTCATCAGCCTCCACCTCAAAGTTCTTGGGGGACAAAAAAGAGAGAGCCTGGTGGATGCCAGGTCAGGAGTTGGCCCTTATCCCTCATCCAATGACAGAGAACAAGTTGGTCAGGTCTAAGTTCTAACCCTGTACCAGCCTCTCCATACTGTGCAACCTTGGGAAAATCACACTCTGAACTTCACATTGCCCTCTCTATATATATATATAAAAAAGATGCAGGGACTCCATGAGAAGTATCCCACCCTTATAGAAGGAATCATCTGTTCAGTTACTACCTACTGAGTACCTATTGTGTGCAAGCCCATCTGGGGCATTAGGGAGTCAGAAAGAAAACAAAGATCTGGCCTCATAAGGGCTCTTTTCCACCAGAAGAGGCACATATGGGCACAAGCAAGTGGATGAACAGTACACTGGGCATGGGAAATGTCAGGGAGGTAAAATGAGCCAAGGAGAAGCCCCAGGGAGAGTGCCAGCATGGCTCCCGGTGTCATATCATCCCTGAGCCAGGCTCTCTGCAGCTGGTAACCTCCCAGGCATGGTGTACAATGTAGACTCTAGGCAAAGCCAAGGACTCCACAGCTGATGGCCCAGGAATCTTCATGTCAACCTATTCTAGACAACACACATCAGAGTACAGGTACCCACAGGCCCTGAAGGCAGGTTTGCTAAGTCCCTTTAGGATCACAGCCTCCATGGTGAGGGCAAGCTCTTTTCCAGAGCCCAGACTGTCCACCTCCCAAAGGCCTCTTGTCAGATGAAATGGGAGGTCCCACCCAGGACAGCTGGCACCTACTCGGTCTCCAATAGTGATGAAGGTCCGGGAGTCCAGGTTCCGGGGGGGTCTGTGGAGAAAGCATACCCTATGAGCCTCAGGGAGAACCACTATCCCAAAAAAAGGAAGGACTAGGGCAGCTCCCAGGGTCACCTTATTTCATCAATTGCTAAGCACCTACTAGGTGCCAGTGTGGCCTTGAGCAGAGTCTCCAAGGTGAGGATTGCGGGTAATAGAGCAGATGGGCAATGATTACTAGTTCCCATAGCCACCCACCTAATGCTGCCCAGGGGAAGGCAAAGAGAAAAGCAGAGCCAGTCCACAGCCAACTGGCTGCTTTCTCCACCAAGTCCCCTCAGGAAGCCTCTTCTAGCTAAGCTGGAGTAAGAAACTGAGGCAGACTCACGTGGGGTTGGGTGCAGGTGGCTTGTATACACAGGATATTCGTAAATCCTTCCTCCTCTTGGATTTCCCTAAAATGGAAAGAAGGGGAGGTATCTGGTCAGTTCCTCAGTCCATCTATGTCCCCTGGATGGGCTAAAACTGATGACAGAGATAATTCAGGTCCCCGTGCTCATGTGCATCCCCCAGATACCTGCGGATGAGTGCTGTGTGTTGACTTCAGGTTTCCCAGGCAAGTAAGCCCACTCAGGCTGGGGCATCAGGGAAGGGAGGAGCCAGGGCTGAACACAGAGTGGCTGTGCCCACTTGCCTCGCAGAGGCCATGCTGCACTGTGAGTCATAATCGTCAATGAACCTGGTGCCAGAGTGTGCCCTGTTACAGGGCTGGGCTAAGCAGGAGGTACCAGGCCATCCTCCATCACAGATGGGGATGGAGATGGAACTTGGGCACCCCCCACAGCCCTCACGGCTACAGGATTAGTGCCAGCTCTAAGGGGCCAGTGTTTGCAGGTGCCAGCACTCTTGACCCTGCAGAAGATCTGTGTCTCTCAGAAATTCTTTCTTAATCCCCAGGACCTCAGAATGTGACCTTATTTGGAGATGCGGTCTTTACAGAGGTAGTTAAATTAAATGAGGTCACTAGGGTGGGCCCTAATCCAGCATGACTGGTGTCCTTATAAAACAGGAAATTGGGACAGACAAGCAGAGAAGGAATACAACGTGAAGAGCCACAGGTGGAGATGGCCACCTACAAGCCAAGGAGAGGCCTGGATGGGTCCAACCCACCAAGCCTTAGAAAAGACCAACTCTGCCCACACTCCATTCAGATTCCAACCTCTAGACTGCAGGAAACCACACAGCCTGTGAGCTTCACTACAGCAGCCCTCAGGCTCACATGGTGCCTGCTACCACATGCCAGGGCTCAGACTGTCCCCCACCCAAAGCCACCTCCCAATGACCCCTTTTGGGTGGTGTCTGAGGCAGACTCAGTTCCATTAAGCCCTGAGCTACACTGTCCATCCCGTTTCAATCTCCCTGTGTGTCACTCTGGAATACAGAGACAGGTATCATGTGGCTGGAGGTTTGAGGTAGCTGCAGGAAGGAAGCTTCTGTCCAGGGCCACACCTGGGCCCAGCACCTACACTCAGGCCTGGGAGTCCCCACCCTTCTCAGCCTCAGCTTCCCCAAAAAGCACTCTTAAAATCATATCCATGGTCAAATACACATGTCAGGAGCAAACCGCCATAGCCCCAGTCCACATGGCTTCTAGGACACGAGGATGCCCACATGCCTGGCATCCATTAAGTGAGGGGGCTGGACAAGGTGAGCTCCAACCAAGCAGCTCCCTGAGGTCAGGGCCAGGGCCAGCCAGGATGGCTCCAGCAGGACCTGACTGCCTCAGAGGCTAAAGGCCGTGCACATCTCGCTCCCAGCACGAAGAAGCTGTCACCTCTGCTGCCTTCCACATGGCACCAGCAGGCCCAGGTCCCACATCTACACTTCAGGTTGGCTGACAGGGTAGCTGTCTGTCCAGCACTGGTTGGCACCAAAGAGGATCTGTACTTAAGGAGTGCAGGGCACAGCTGGGCTGGCATACAAGGGGGAATCCTGAAGAAAAACACTCTTTGGCAAAAGCAGTGTCATCTCAGAGATGGGAAAAGCCAGGATCAAGGAAGTCAGGAGCCTGCCAGGTACTTCCAGATCCACTATCCTAAGAAATCTGCCCAGTGTACCAAGCATTAGTGGGTGGCAAAGCTGAAATTCAAATAGGGCTCTATGAGGCCACTCAGGGCAGTAACATGCCAGCCCTACAGGACTGCAAGAGCTTCCACCCCTGCCACCTGCTCTGCCATCATCTGTACCACCATCACCAGCCCACCCCTGCTGCTGCCAGCCCTCCAGCTGCCGGCCAGCTGGAGCCTGGGAGCCACCCATGGCCCTGCCTCAACCTGACAAGGACCCCATCTCTGGAGCCACCTCTGAACCAGAATGGGACCCAGCCCCAGCCCTGGTACAACATAGCCTCAGAGTTGCATTTGTGAGCCAGGTGGGCAAGCTAGGCGGACTCCTGAGCATGCTGACTTGGACGCCTGACAGGCCAGATGGGGCCTACAATACCCTCCTGTAGCAGAGGAACAGGCCTGGGACTTCACACTGAACAGGAAGCAGGAAGCTACCATGGGATCCCCTGGGCTCCCAAGGTTTTGCTGGGCCGACACATTCTATGGGGCAAGAAAAGAACAGAGCGAAGTCATAGCATTCAGGGCTACCAGCTACTGAGGCCCCTCTGCCTGCCTCTGGTCAGTCACTCTGCGTGCTCCAGGAGATCCTGACGCTGACCTCTGGCTCAAGGGCTGCGCTGCAGTGGAACACAAGGAATATCTACCTGGCTCTGAGATCAGGCTGCGTTGCTTGGGTACCTCAGCTTCCCTGTGAGACAGAGATAGGCACAAATGCCTCCCCGCCAAACTACCTGAAGGTCAGAGGACTGAGCAAGGGTGTACCTGTGAGGTGTTTGGCACACAGGAGGTGGCCCTATTAATGGCCCATAAATGATCACCATGGTTACCAGTGGAAAAAAGTCCACCCTAAAGAGAATTATAGGCAGTTTATATTCTTGACTTGAGGCTTTATTTAACCAAACTATAAAATACCTTGTTATAAACAATAAAACTCTACCTGGAGCCTCAGAGCCTTGGTCTTGACCCCAACCCCTGACAAACCTGGCCTTCACTGGCTCTAGCTCTAGCCTGCTACCTACCTTATGCTGTGGATTCAGGGAGGCTGCAAGATGTTCCCTCACGTCCCTGGCCACAGCAAGGGTGGGTGCTAAGGTCTGCCCCTCCTCCCAGGCTGGGCAGCACATGGCCTGGCCTTGCCACCTGTCTTGCAGGGACACCATCCTGCGTCAGGGGTGACCTGGGCTCTGTGGGGCACCCACACCAGCTGTCAGAAGCAGTGGGTGAGATCACCTTGGAGACAGCACAGAAACAAGCCTCAGGCCACCACTGCCCTGATCTGCCCAGATGGCCAGGCAGCCCAGGGCTACCCAGGTGCAGCCTGAGGTGGTGACTGTTGCCACAACAAACATAGGCTCTCAGGCCACCGTGGGCAAAGCCCGACAGGCCCACCAGCCTTGACTCCCAGAGTCCCTGTATACACAAGCCGGGTGCCAGGTCTGTGTATTCTTGGGCCACACCAGCCCCAAAGCACTCCCAGTGGGGAGTTGAGGAAGCTGCTGCCTGGGAGAAGAATTCAGCAGCTGGCACACCACTGGCAAAGAGGTATCCACAGCCTCAGATCAAGCTCCTGCCACGTCTCCTCCCACCTTCCCTCAGTCCAGCCTGAGCCATTGTCTCCTTCACCACCCCTCTAATGAACCTTTTTTCAGCACAGTACCCAGGGTCTGGGACCTAGCACATGCCAGGCAAATGCTCTACCACTGAACTATATCCCCAGACCTTTCTTTCACTTTTATTGTGAGATAGGACTTCACTAAGTTACCCAGGCTAGCCTTGGACTTGCAATCCTACCTCAGCCTCCCAAGTAGTTGGGATTACAAATATGCAGCATGGTTTAAATGAGCCGCAAGCTTTTTCACCTCAGTGCCTTTGCACATGTCATTTCCTCTGCCCAGAATGCCCTTTCCTGAAACTTTATACAAGCAGGGACACGGTCCTGCCAGTCACCTATTCACAGAGGCTCCCTGACTACCCCAGCTAAGTCCCCCTCTTACTGACTCTAACTACTACTGGCCTCTATCCTGCCACTTCTCAACAGTCATCACTGTAGTTATAACTCCGAGAAGCCACTCAAGAGCCAAATAGCCTGGGTTCAACTGTGACTCTGCCACTGCCTAGCTGTGTGGCCTCAAGCAAGTCACTGAACTTCTTTGGGCATCAGAGCCTGTGACATGGTGACAACAGATTGACCTCCAGGGTTATCAGCACCATGCCGGAGCAATGCCTGGCTTTAGAAGATTAGATAGGGCAGTCTAGAAGCCCACAGCTGAGACTGTACCATGGCTTCTGCCCTAGGAGAACTCTGCAGCTACATGAGGGAAAGGTTTGCAGGGGTCTGTAGTGCTGAGCAGGTTAGAGAGGAGAGACACATGGCACAAGCTGGGAATCCAGTGGGGTGTGGATGTGAAGGCAGGTGTGTCCCACTCAGACATCCAGCTGTCACCAGAGACAGCCTTAGAGCAGGCTGCTCTCAGAGGATCAGCACACCAATCCCACAAAGGCCATCCCAAGGTCCCCATGACCAAAGCAATACCTGCTCCCCTACCTGTGAGTACTTCAAAGCTTTCTCACAGGTGTTGATTCTGTGAGAGACATCCTAGCCCTAAGTGTCTGAACCTATCAGGGAAGGAAGGACGCAATGCCACCATCCCCACCCACTCAGCTGGCCACCTCCATCCTGCAGGGTCTTCAGGCAGTGTGCAGCTAGCTAAGATAACCCCTACTTCCAGAGTGGAGGGGTGCTGAGGCTCAAAAAGGGAATGGGGCAGGCTTTCAGGCAGGCGGCCTCACCTCCGAACCTAACGCTTATCGGCTTTCATGAACCAAAGCCCGTGCTGAACACCTGACACTCTGGGACCCAGGTGCCTCCAGAGAGGTCCCCAAAAAGCCAAGCATGCACAGGAAGCAGGGAGAGTTCCAGAAGGGGACCTGTCCTGGGGCTCTGGAAGGGAAACCTGGACTACAGGAAGGGGAAAGGTCCTCTCACTGACTAAGCACCTACGACATGTCATGTGAGCCCTTCCCCATGCAGCCTCACAGGGACCCCCAGCATGAGCACCGTATGTCACAGGTGAGCGGCAAGCCAGGGCCATGGGAAAGCAGCTTGAGGCTTCTAGTCTTGGACCTGCCCTCCCTGCCTAGTGCATGTGGCCATCTGGCTGTGCCTGCTTCTGAGCCCTGAGTGCCTGCAGGTCTCACAGTGTGCAGGGCCTGCTTCCCCGCCAGGACTTCCACACCACCAGCCTCCTCTGTGTCCATACTCCTTCATCACAGCCAGCAGGTAACCCAGCTGCCTCTGGGGTCAGCCCCAAGCTGGACGCTGTGGCAGT